TTATTAAGTGTACAATAAAAAAAACTTTCATTTATTCAATTAAAAAGATTTAGGGTAATGGTTCACGTATGACTTGACTTAATGAAAAATAATAATTATAATAAATAAATAAATAATAATTTGCCACAATAAGAAAGAAGAAACAATATTTTCTATCTTCATGAGACTAATTATATATAGCCTGGTACAAAGCATATTTGTCTTGCTGAAGAAAGTCAATTAATTTAAGTTCTCTTTTTGTTTTTAACAAGAAGATATAGCTTTAATTAAAACATTCAAATAAAATATTAATTCATCAATATTAAAACATCTAAATTTGATCACTTTGAACCAATAAAAAATAAATCATTTGCCTTAAACATTTTTTTAAGTCCATGAAAGTACAAAGCATTATGAGTTTCTGTTTAATACAACCTTAACATTTTACATTGGTCAAAACAAATATTTCTTAGTTGAGCTGTTAATCAAAAACATTTAAATACATGTTTAAATACACTATGAACAGCAGCTACGCTAATTATTTCTTTATTCTCTATTTTGTTTTGTTTTGTGCGTTTGTTTACACTTTATCTCTATAAATTTGTCTTGGACTCTAGGCCCACATTTAAATACACTTACAAACATTTAAATACACATTTAAAAACATTTAAATACACATTTAAATACACTAAGGGGTCTGGCTGCAGACTCTGTGCAGTGCAATCTGAGCTGCTTCCAATGTTTTTTAATGCACTCACCTAACCCCACCCCTAGCTTGCATCATAAAGGCTGCATCCAGATACTATTGCTATGAACAGCAGCTACGCGAATTATTTCTTTACTCTCTATTTCGTTTGTTTGTTTGTTTGTTTGTTTACACTTTACCGTCCCCAATAGGGAAATTTGTCTTGGACTCTAGGCTCACACTGAACAGAAACAGACATAAAAAAACACAAATGAATACACACATTCAGTCATTAACAAATATTATATTTAAAAGTCTAATTGATGCAGGTAAAAAAATGATTTCCTAAAACTATTATATCTGCACACAGGCAGCCTGTATCGTTGACCAAAAAGCAGTAAGTCATACAAAACAAACTGTGCGAGGGGTCAGCTAATATTTTAATAGCTTCGTCCTGAACTGATTGCTCATAGAATGACTGTAAGGATCAATATTCCCTTTTCCCTATGATTCTCATGGCTGTCTTCACCAGCCCTCCCACAATTCTAGATTGAATTGTGTTGTTTCCGTACCAAACAGTAAATCTATAGCGTATTATGCTTTCAATCACAGCTTTGTAAATTAAAAACATACAAAAGTTTTGTTCATACAAAAGGCTAAGTATAATCTGAGTATTTTACTATAATATATTACTGGAATTATGTTATTAAACAAAATATTATTAAACAAAAGTGGGGAGCTTGCTAATTGCCTTGGGGAACACCTGCTTGTCTGATCTTATTTCTGATCTCTGATAAGCTGTCATTAACCCTGAGGATACCATAGCTGCAATCCAAGACCTGTGAAGAAATGATGCAAAGGTATCCATAATCCTGGACCAGGCTGTATCCTGAGCTGATGCTGTGGTGGTCATGGAGGAGCGGAGAGCGTGAGACTACAGTAACAGACTAGTCTTTGCACTGATTCTGTGGGCCAGCCTGAACACCCGCCGGTGACCTACTCACCTGCAGTTCTCCATGATGGACGTCCTGCGTTCTCCAGCCTCCAGCGCCTAGACTGCAGCTCTGCAATAGAAGTTTGACCATAGGAGAAATGGTCGTGCCCAGCTGAGCCTGAGCCTTCTATCAAGGTTTTTTTTTCCTTCACTTCATCAATTGATAAAGTTTTTCATCGTCGCTGTCGCCACTGGCTTGCTTGGTTTGGAACTTGAGGAGCTGCTCATCAATGAATTTGCTCTTCGGTGTTTGGACTTTCAGCAGTGAAAATTAAACCACACTGAACTGAACTAAACTAAACTGAACGTCAACTGTGAAAACTGGACTGACAGTTTTAATTTACTAGAACTTCTATGTGAAACTGCTTTGACACAATCCACATTGTAAAAGCGCTATAGAAACAAACACGAACTGAATTTAATTTATTATATAATATATATTATATTATATATTTTATATAATTTTGAATATAGTACTTGAAAAATAAAACAAATACTATTAAACTGAAATAAAAGATAAAAACTTTAATTGGATACTTTTTTTCCCCCAGTATACATAAATATATTGATAAAACAATAAATATATATTTGCCTGTTGGACTGCTCTAAACTCCCATAGTTATTTATTAAATTAAGTTTAACCAAGTTGAACTTCAAGTCTCCCAAAAACTCCTGCAAGGTATGGCTTTGTTTTACACTCCTAAATGTGTTTGGTGTTTTGATTAAGAATACCTGGCCAAAAGATCTTTAAAAATGACAAATTTAGATTATAAAATGTTCTCTGTAATAAAAATGGTCCTTTTATAGGAACCGTTTCCAAAAAAAGTTTCCAAAAATGGTTCTTCATTACCTTTATTTTAAAGTATAACAGCGCTGTATCAAAAAAGACGAAAATATGTCAAAAGAAAGATTAAAAATAAAACAAATAAACATGATGTTAGGTTTAATAAGAATGTTTGTGCTAAATAGAAATCATGGTAAAATGAACCTGCAGGTTTGATTCTTTAATTTCACAAATATGAACTCAACAAACCTCAAATTTCTAAATTTAAAATCAATTTAAAATGAGTGAAGCTTAATTTAATAATATTTATCAGGATATTTTATATACACATTTAGATTTATACATCTCTTTTTTCTTATTGAAAGGTAGCATATAATGAACAGTTCTTATAAAGCGTAAAACTAAACATTTCTGTAGAATTACACAAAGATTTCTTGAGTATTTGCTAACACTTTATAATAACTACACACTATGAATCATCTATTAAACATTAGCAAATAGTAAATTCATTATTTACTAAGCATTAACTCTACATTAATAGACATTATTAAGCAGGTTATAAACACAAATAAATTATTATAAGCATATTCATTATGAGCTTAATGATTGTGTTTATTTATTAATTGTTCATAACAAAATTCAGTATTGCATTATTTACAAACCATTTGTATTTAAGAGTAGTTGAAATGATTAATAAATTATTCAAATCAGCATTCATATATTTTATTATTCAGGCGTATAGTAATGGTCATTATGTATGTTAATAAATCATTAAGTCAACTTCATGCAGTTTTGTAACCTTATCTAAAGTGAAGATGCTTTGTAAATCCCTTTTAAATGACTATTAAAGGCTTAGTATAAATACATGTTTGCAATCTGACTGTACAAAGTTATACAAAGTATACAACTGTACAATTAATAAAAATAATACTGTAAACTTTAAACACTGCTGAATAACAGGAGAGTCAAAATAGAATTAGAAATAAATACAATTAAATTAAATTGGATAAAACAACAGCAATATATTAATTTAACAATATATTATGATGCAACATTTCAGTGTTATTTAGTGATGTTAAAACGGTTCAGTCATTTTATTTTAAATAAGATTGCAAAAACATATTTTTCTTTTGCACATTTGTGTATCTTGAAATGAACAGAAATTAATAAAGTTGTTTATTTATTTATTTTTCCTGTATAGAACCAAGCCTTTAATTGTCATTTATAAGGAAATTACAAAGCATAAATAGTCCTCACTTTAGATTAGGTCATGATAACTGGATGAAGTTGACTTAATAAAGCATTTATTAGCATTAAAATTAACTATTAATATATTCCTGAATAATAAGATATATGAATGCTAATTTGAATAGTTTATTAATCATTTACTTACACATAATGAATGATCTTAAAATAGCACCAACTGTTCTTAAATAACTAGTTTGTAAGTAATTCAATTCTTAATTAAGCTATGAAAAAATTAATCATTAACCAAATATGAAAATACAATTAATTAACAAGCACATCATAAATGAATATTTTAAAGAAACAATTTCTACCATAAAACTGATGTTAAATCTTCTCAATCAAATTTAATGACAGAAATCTTTATTTTAACACCTGCCTGAATTTGTAACACTGAAGACAAAACAATTAATTCCAATGCACAACAAATAAGCTGTTTCTCCAAAATGTTTATTTGCTTTAATAAACGGATACATGTTTGGGAGAGAAAAAAAAATTGCAGGCCAAGACCTGCAGGCTGTGAAAAGCTATGAATTAGTCTTATATGAAATACCTGCTTCATATCAGATTATGTTAATGTCTGAGTGAATACTGAACAACATGTATAGACATACCGAAAACACCGGACAGAAACATGCAGTAAAGGTTATTGTATGCATAGAGAAACACCACGAGCGGCCCTCATGATAGGAACAAAACATGACTGTTTCCTTCAATTTCCTCTTTTCAGAAGTGCTTTGTTTTTAGCTCAACATGTTCAGTTCATCTGTCATGTGTCTAAACATTGGGTAACTTTTTTTCCAGTGCACATTATTGCATAAGAAATTAGTAGAAAGTACATAACATTTGTTTTGGCTACAAACAATTGGCTTCGGGAAATTATTTAAAAGGATAGATCATCTGAAAATGTAAATTTACTGCTATTTACTCACCCTTAAGTGGATCTAATAAATGAGTTTCTTTGCTCTGTTGAATGCCAAAGATTTTTTTAGAAGTCAAAATTTTTTCCATCGGAAAAACTAAAATTCTTACTTGTTTATTGCATTTTTCAAAACATCTTCTTTTGTGTTTAACAGAAGAAAGAAACTCGCAATGGTTTGAAACAACTATAAAGGGTGAGGATATGACAGGATTTAAATTTTTGGTTGAATTATCCATTTAATAGACGTAAAAAACAGATTGCACAATATAAATCAATATTATTTCATAATAATAATAATAATAAATAATTGGAAAAATCTTACAAATGTTATTTTTAAAACACATTTCTTAGCTTTTAGTTCTTTAAATGCAGAACCACACACGTCAGTTGTTCAGTGCATGGAGCTGGCTGTGTTAAAATGAGGGAAATAACTGGGAATGTCTGTACAAAGTCCTCCGATATATTCAGAAGAAGAAGGAGAAGGCTTTCCTGGGAAAAACTGTCCCGAAGGCGATGTTTTGGAGAGGTAAGATTCCTCCTGCGACCAGGCCGACAGTCCAGCTGTGTGAGGCACCTGATGGGAGTAAAAATAACTGGACTGGTTGGAGAGTAAATTAAAAGAGCAGGGCGCGGACAGAGGCAGAGGCACAGAGGCAGATGTGGAGAAGGAGGAGGAGGAGGAGGTCATCTGCTCGCAGCCCATCCCGTAATAAGTGGCCTCTTGGCTGGACGGGATCAGAAGCCTTTCCGCGGCGGGAGCGACGGAGCTGAAGTGGCGCGCGCTCTGAGAGAGGACAGACGCGGCGTAGTTGCTGTGGTGCGCGGCTGCGGGGCTCGAGTGTCGGTGCTGGAGGGTCACGAACGGCGGGACCGGCCAGTAAAATGAGCCTGCGAACGCCAGTCCAGCGGAGGCGGCGGTGGAGGACAGCCGGGCGCCTCTCTTCATGGCCAGTTTGGCTCTCGACGCGGCGGTGGACCGCCGCCGGAGTTTGCCGGTGGTTCCGCCGATGAAAACATCGTCACTCGACGGGTCCAGCATCCAGTAGTTGCCCTTTCCCGGGTCGTCGTAGTGGCGCGGGACTTTGACGAAGCACTTGTTGAGGCTCAAGTTGTGTCGGATGGAGTTCTGCCAGCCCTGTCTGTTTTCCCGGTAGTACGGAAAGTTGCCCATGATGAACTCGTAGATGCCGTTGAGGGTGAGCCGCCGCTCCGGGCTCTGGCGGATGGCCATCATGATAAGCGCGTTATAACTGAACGGAGGCTTATCGGGTTTACTCTTTTTCTCCGGCACATCTGTTCCCTCACACTTGGGCTCTCCAACTCCGTCTTTTTTCTCGGTTCTGGTCACTAATTCGTTGCGCTCCCGGACAGGTTTGTCTGCAGGCTGATGGCAGCGCGCGGGCGGCTTCGCCGATCGAGAGCGCGGTGCTTCCTGCGCGTCGCTTCTCGCGCGTTCGTGTCGCAGCAGTAAACTGCTGATGCTGAATGACGACTTGTGGAAAAAACTCACGGGGGGCTTTAAGTCCTCCATGTTTAATTCAAACACGCTCCAACAGGACTTAAAAGTTCAAAAGTGGCACCAGAACCCATATAAAGTGCCCTGTCATCCTTCGGAAACGCTTGGTACAAACAAAACAAAGATGCGATAAGTTTCCCGCGCAGCCAATCTCTCTGACTGATCAATGAACTCGAAGGCTCAATTATAACACTTGGAAAGCCGGTGAAACTCAAGCCTCTCACCTGAGACCGCCCTTCTGTTTACACATTCATCTGACTGAGTGCCCGTCAAAAGCGACTGAGGCAAAAAAAAAGACGTTACGCCAAGGAGTTCAGATATATGACAACACTTGGAGATGTGAGTAAACAAACAGCTTAGGGTGGACATGAACTCTAATCTCTGGAGGAATGCCCCTGGCGCCATAGCATAGGGGAGCGTGAGCATTCACCATGCAAAATAACAGACTACACTTTTACATGAAAAGAAAGGCGATGAAACATTTGCTTGAATGTATCCGTTTTCTGTTTGCGCTGTGCTTCATTCTTTGATAAAGGCCTGATACAGGCTATAGCACGTCTGCTTGAAGTTAACGATGTCTATAAATAAGGCCTACGAAGGACTGTAAAAGGAGGTAAGTTTAGTTTTAACATGTTCATATGGATAGGGCTGTAGAGGAGTTGTCGCCTATACAGGCTAAAATTAAACCAGATGACATTCATGAGTTCAATGCAATAAAAAATAAATAAATAAATAAAACCAAGATGTTTTCTTCAAAACTAGTTTGTGTGCTTTAATTTCTGTATTTTCCTATTTTCTGTTGTAGGGCAGTGACCATCCTGCATATTTGGTAAAACTGATGGCTTTTGTCCTGACAAGTAATGTTCAACGTAAGTACAAATAATGGATCTGAAATTTACACAGTTTTTATATAAAATAAATATACAAAATATCTACAAATAAATGGGTTTCAATTAGTACTTTACTTATTATCAAGCACTGCAAAGGCAGCTACACATACATGAAATAAGAGTGTAAATACGAAACAAACTTAAAGCAATTATATTTGTCAAAAATGAATAAATAAGACATATTAGGTAAATGACAAAGTGGAAGAGTTAGTAAATATGTTTAGACAGATGGAAAATCACTGATTGAGTCCCTTATAAGAGGCACTGACACAATTTTAATACAAGTCACTGCGACACAGACATTTTTTTTGTGCAAAAAAAATGATCAATTCAGTCATAAAAGGTTCATGCTGTGAACAAGAGGAATCATCTTCAATAACAACAACAATAATCTTATTTGATAAACATTTTTCTGGACTTTAAATGATAACCTCAGAACTGGTTCCAGTAATATTTCATGACTTTTACACAGCTTTAAAACATAAAAAGAATGAATAGAGAATAAATAAACCTGTCAAACACATTCACACAGTTCTATTTCAAATTTATGCTTGCAAAAGTTCATTGTTTTGCAATCGGTCTCTTAGTTTTGGTAGCACAGAGTATAAATTTTCCCCAGGACAAGCAGTTTTTGCAACGTCTTTATGTCCCAGAAGCACAAAATTGGGTCGCACATGCCCATGAAGCACTCCAATGTGAAGCAGTCTAAGCAGAGCAGACAGCGACGCAGAGCTTGGCAAATCAGCTACAGACAAACAGAAATTATAACACATTTTATACATCATTTGCATTTTATATTTGCTCTCAAATATCCACATTTCTTAAAAAGTACATGGAAATTCTTATGCATGTTGCTTATTATTTCCATTTATGAAACTATTAAACACTGCGACAGTATTATATTTGTAAACACCTCAGAATGAACTAGAAAAATGAATGTGACTTGTGTTCTCACCATTGAAGTTGCCCATGAAGGCGATGCCAACAGAATAAAAGTTGTGTTCTTTAGCATGAGCTCCTACAATCCCCCATCCTCTGCCTTCATACACCGTCCCATCTCCAGATATTAGAAAGCTAAAGAAGTAAGAAGGACAGAGTCAATGTACAGAGTCCACCCTGTTGGGTTAGCTCAATCTAAAATGGACAATAGCTTTAAATTTTTAATTTAAAAGCAATATATATATATATATATATATATATATATATATATATATATATATATATATATATATATATATATATATATATATATATATATATTTAAAAAGCACGAATACAATCATGAGTCCATCACAGTCATGAGGATTTACAAAAGCACCTTTTCTATTATAGATTTTATTACAAATGAGAAACAAAATGGTTTTCAAACTGTAATTTGCTTGGTTGTTTTGTTTTATAATTATTTTATTTTGGCTTAATATAATTGCATATTTATTCAATAAAGATCATCATGGCCTATAAATTAGTGATGACGTTTCCATTACTAATGAAGTAAATTCAGGTTCTCTGGATTTAGATTTCAGTAAAATGTTTTTATATTTCGTTTATTTCGTTAAGGTCTGATGTACAATTCAAATTAAATTAAAAAAAATGTAATTTAGAACTTTTTTCTAAAAATTCTATTTTGTCAGATTTACAATTATTTTAATTTTGTCTCTGAATATCAGGTTTATTGGAATAAATATTGCTTTCTCAACTTGTAAAAAGAAAAAAGGTAACTTGTGAATAAACTGAAAAGATGGAATATTTTTAGTAACATATTTTTAAATTTTGAAATAACACAGGCCCGTATGGGGGGCTTCGGGTGGTTCGAAAGACCCACCTCCTCACTGACAAAGTGCAGAATTCGGCCCCTACATGAGCTCTATTGTCCCATTTTTGACTGCTATGCCATCATAAATTGTGAAAATAACTGATAGAAGAAGGCTTTAGGACAAATTTCATTTTTAATTATTCAAATGGCCAAATTCTGACTGAGAAAAGTTAAATAAGCTGTCTAGTTTATTTGCCAAGAATGTTAAGTAGTTTTGTAAGCCAAAACAAGTTTTAACAGATTGCGAATTGTTTTTATATGATGGATGAAAATAAAGTTGAGTTTTAAAAGGTAGTATTTTTTCAATATTTCTTTATTTTTATTCTTTTAAATGCTTATCTCATAACATTATTTATATAAATGAAATAACATATTTTAAATGCACATTTGTAATCAAATATTTTGTGGTAGTATTGTGAGCATTTTGACAAAATTGTAGTAAATATTCTAGTAGCCTACATCAAAAAGTGTAGTTCGACAACATCTGACAAGCTGAACAAGCAAAGATTAGTGCTTAAATATCGCTAAAAGGCAGCATTTAAACCCCATAATTGAATAGAAAATGAAGCAAATAACTGCAAAAAGGTCCCTTTTTGAGAAAAAAAAGAACCATCCCTGCAATACGCTGCATGGCTACAGGCCTGTGTAATACCCCTAAAGTAATAATAGGCTACTTTTAATTTAGTATAGAAGGTCATGATCTGTTTATTGTTTCTAAAAACATTTAAGACAATAGAATACAGCTCACTGATTCTGAATGAAACACAGTTTATCTCATGTTCAGCAACATAATTTACAAGTTAATTAACACTTAAAGTAACCAAGGCTTTAGCCATGCCGTAAACATTTGTATATGTCCTTTAACCATGAGATAAAGTATGGTCAGACGTTAAAAGTAATGTTATCTTCTTACTTGTAACCGATATCGTCGAATCCCCGCTCCTGCATGTGCATGCGCTGAATGTGCGCGAGCTCGGTGACGCTTTCTCGCGGGTGCGCGCAGAACCGGAGCGCGGTGTGGTGAACGATCACTGTGTGCGCGGGACTCTCCATCTGAGTCATTTCCCGAGGCTGCACGGCGTCCCAACCACGACGACTCACTGTATCTATTGAAAAATAACATTAGGATCGCTTGAACTCACTATTGCAAAATAACAATATGATCGCTTAAACTCACTATATCTGTTGCAAAATAACAATATAGGATCACTTAAACTCAATATGTCTATTGCAAAACAACAATCTGATCACTTAAACGTGTCAGAAATCACAAAATCGTTTGTGGAGCGAGTCTCTCTCACCTGCGTTTATGTCCACGGTGTTTGTGTGTCCGTCCATATCAGCGACAAACTTTTCGTTCCCTGTATGCTCCAACATGACTAAACTGACAGGTTTATTAGCTCTGGATGACAGGGAGGGACAACATACGTGAACTTCCGCGTACTTTCCAGTCTCGTGCAGAAATTCAGCTCCTGTGTACAGGAAGATGAAGAAACTGTGCTGCATGGGCTTTTTATAGATGACAAATTGACAATGGAAATGCAAGTGTGGATATTTTACCAGCGTGAAAATAACAGAAGTGACAGACTGGCAGCGTTGCTTAATGCCCAGATATTTTGTTATGGGTTGAAATAATTGCACAATATCTTTGAAGTATACAGTGAGAAAAGTCAAAATTGTTTTTGGGAAAGTCTTGTTGATTAACCATCACCATAGAAACTTGTCTGACTTTCTTTTCCCTCAGAAAACAAAATATGCCTAAGATAATTTACAGGTTTTGTAACCACAGACTGAAAAAAGAGGATGACAATGACGCGCATGAAATACAGTATGAATGAGCATAATGGAAATTTGAAGCATGATGCACATGAAAAGTTGCATGTGGAGAAAAACAGGATTTAAGATGGAATCATTTGTAGATAATCTGAATAATTAAAATTATTTTGTTCACAAAACTGGTAATGCGTTATTATTAATATTAGAGAAAACAATATTAACTAAATATGACTGGCTCAATAAATTACTTAACATTAAATATATTTTAATTTATTGTATCTTTTTGTTGAAATATAATCAATGTTTATTATCAATGAACAAAAGCCATCTTGCCAATTTAACACCCACTCGCCAACTAAACTGAAACTCTCAAAGAATATAGTGCATTAGTGCACCCCCCCCCCCCCCCCCCATTTCCCAAACAACTAGATTTTCAAAATTATTAGTATCAGTTCAAACCTTTTAATCTATATGAACCAAGCAACCAACTCAGATACAATGGGGATTACAATATTACAAACATTTGTAATTTGTTCACAGCAAATAACTAAAACAAGATAAACAAAGACTGACTTGACAGCTTTATTAAAAACAGGGTTTCTACAGGTTTCATCAAGTCAAATTTAAGACTTTTTAAGACCTTTTAAAGACGATTTTATAACCATAAATGGATTTTCAGACTAAGCAAGGCTAAATGCTAAAGATTTTTTTTAATGGTCAAGATAAAACCTTAAAAAAGCATTGAAAACAAATGTTATTGTAATAAAGATAATTAATTCATATTAATAAGTAGAGTTAATAAATAAATGCATCTTAAAACTTATTGAAGTATTGTTAGAGATTGGATGGCTGGATTGGGTATAGCTTTACATGGATATGAGAAAATTAAGACCCATTTAAAATGATTTAAGACCTACAACAAAATATTTTAGTGGATTTCAGACTTTTTAAGGCCTAAAATTTGTTTTTTTAAATTTAGGACATTTTAAGACTCCTCAGACACCCTGTAAAAAGCTGCACTCTCAGAAATAAAAGTACAGGAGCTGTCAATGAGGCAGTCCACAGTGGCAACCTAAAGGTGCATATTAGTTCCCAAATGTACCTAAAAAGTATCTTTGAGGTGCCATTATGGACCCTTCAGATACAAATACACTCTAAAAAAAAAATTCCGTAAAAAAACGGGAAAATGTACTGGAAGCTCATTACACAAATATTTTACCGTAAATTAAAAACAGAAAACTTCTGTTAATTGACAGTGTGTCCACAGTAAAAAACTAAAATATATCCGTTTTTTGACTGTTAAATTACATTAAAAAAAACTAAATATTTTAAATTAATTTAAGGTTTTTATATAATAAAAATGGTTATTTTTCTGTTTTTTTAAGGGTAAACCAACAGTAAAAAAATTGACATTTTCTGTGTTTTTAATAGTATGCCTCCAGTAAAAAAATGGTTAGATTCTGTGTTTTAATGGTGTATCTACAGTAAAAAAAAATTGACATTTTCTGTATTTTAATAGTATATAGTAATAGTACTGCCCCAGTACCTTTATTTCTGAGTGTATAATAGAACAAACTACAATCCAGTGAATCATTGCGAGTGACATACAAATTTAGAGTTTGAGTAAAAATGTCTTCTTTTTTTTTTTGGTTTTGTAAATATGCCTGATAACATTTCTTCCTAATTAAATAGTCATTTTATAGCACTGAACATTACAAACTGTCAGAAAGACAAATGGTTTTATTTGTGATTGAAAAATCAAGGGGAGACCACCAAATACTGACTTTATAGATTTTTTTGAAGTGAAAACATAGATATTGTGTTGTTCAATATTTATTAATATTTCCACAATTAAAATTGCACATATTCATCATACTACTTAGCATTAATTCATCTTGAATTGTACACACCTACTGTACATATAGGTTTGTAATTATGTTCATATCTATCTGCACACTTCTGATTATAAAAAGCAACCTGTACAATGTTCAGAGCTTTACAAATACAAAACTATTGTAAATCTCTGATCATAGTTATAACCTGTATATAATGTTCATAGCACATCCATCTGTAAATATCACCAGATTTTCTATAATTGTACTTTATAACTTATATCCTGCACTTGCTGCTATTGCCCTCCTGATTAGACCTAAAACTACATTTCGCTCCCTTGTACTTGTACATGTGTAATGCCAATAAAGTTAAATTTAATCATCTAATCTAAAACAGTTGCGCTGCAGAAAATAAATCAAGAGCATATCAAGGTTTACATGCAAACCAACAAAACGCTTGAAAACTGCTGTGAAATATCATATATGAGCAGAGGGAGAGATTTGACCTGTTAGCAAAATACAACCTGTAATCACTCAAATCCACTTCAGGTTTCTCAATTTTACTCCCCTGAGACAAATAAGAGAAGACTCTATACTTCGGCTGCACTTGGGGAAAAAATATCTAACTGCATTTTTTAATGAGATTATAAAATTTTCAATCATGATTTTAAGAATAATCTCCATATTTTCTGGAAAGTATGTCATTTTCTGTACACATGACCATAAAAATAATACCAATAGCTATAAAGCATAAAGTTTGTAAGAAGCCTAATTGAATGCCTTCATGCTCTGAAATCACATATTCAGATTTTTGTGTGTAAATCAACAATGCCATGGTTCAACCTGAAACCTGCTTCATGTATTATTAGTCAATTTAAATCACAGCCTATGTAATCTCATTCTTGCACAAAAGCCTATCACAATCTTGAATTATACATGTAGCCCTAAAGCAACCTAGCAGAAAACAATGACTAACCTTAAAGGTACAGATTACCAAAATATGAAAATTTACTGGTGGTTCCAAACCTTTGGAGTTTCTTTATTTTGTTAAACACAAAATAAAATATTTTAAAGCTGAAATCCTACAACCACTGACTTATACTATAACAAATACTATAGAAGCCAAGGCTTTTAACATTCTTCAAAATATCTTCTTTTAAAAGTCTGAACAATCCCTTTTGTTACAAACTGTCTGGCTTTAGACAGTCTGCAACATAATCAAGAGTTGATAAACGATTTATTAAATGAATTTAAACAAGATCAAATGCAAAATAAATGACCTTTTAAACAAGTAAGAAAATTTGGTCCTGGAGATCGATCAGGCAGCCCAAATCAAGCCAACAACGCAAGCATCTCTCGAGGGAACAAATGAGGAACCCTTTTATCATGCTCTCTCAGAAATAAAGGTATGTGAGAGGTCACTGCGGTGGTACCTTTTCAAAAGGTACACATTTGTGCTTAAAGGGTCCATATTGGTACCTGAAAAGTTTATATTAGTACCTACACATTGTAAGAGGAACACTTTTGTACTTTTTAGGTACTAATATGTATTTTTGAGGTATTAATATGGATAAAAATTTATACCTTTTGAAAAGGTACCACCCCAGTGACAGCTCGCGTAACTTTATTTCTGAGAGTGTGCGCTCATCACCGGCAACGCAGTACACCTGTGATGAACTCCAACCTGAGCACGTAAGGGAACAAGTGACCTCAAAACAATAGCGCCATCTAGTGGACATCCAAACACCAGAAAAAAAAACACTTTAATCCAAAGCCTAAAATCTCAAAAGCAGACTATTTTAAAATGAAAACTCGACTTTCTTTTACTTTTTGTAATCTTTTATTACAAACATCTTTAAAAAAATACAGAAGAAATAAAATGAAAAACTATTAACACTTCTCTGGAGTCTCTGGATGTGGGCTGGTGTTTGTTTCTCAAAATTAATTATAAACTCCAGTTTAGTCTCAAATTCTCCAGCGATCTACAGTCAGGTCACTGACAAGATACACCCACTGGACAACAACACATGTCCTCTAAACTGACAAACAATGGACCGCGGACTCCAGAACACCTCATTTTTCATCATTTATGAACTCATCCTCCTCATTCTGTCCATCTGTGGCCACAGTGTGGGGCAGTGCAGACATAGTAGAGCCTCATGGCATCCTGCATTCAGAAAACAGAAATACTGTAATTACTGCAGTAATTAAAATCACATGTAGGACTTAAACGTATTTAAGTTTCTTCTCATCAGTGTCAGTATATTGCGCACAACTTCCTTGGTTTGAAATGAAGCACAGAAGATGTACTACGTTAAAGGCATGACTCATGAATGTGAGCTCTATACTGACACAGAGGAGAAGAAACTGTTAAATAAAAGTCGTTATTTTTATTTTAAGTGCGCACAAAAGTATTCTCATAGCTGGATCATATTTCGATTGAACTACTGAAGGTATATGATCTCTTTTGAGGATGTTTTTTTGGAATTTGTCTGTATATTTGAAAACCTTGCCATCTATGGAGGATGAGGGAGCTCTCACCTGAAATATCTTAAGCTTTGCTCCAAAGATGAACAAAGATCTTATGGGTTTGGAACGACCCAAGGGTGAGTAATTAATAACAATTAACATTTTGGGTAAACTAACCCTTTAATTGCAGAAACTACAAAATGCAGGGAATCTGCTATTACACAATTTTGATGCAAGTAACATAAAACATGTAAAGTTAGAGGAAACATCTGTTCATCAAACAGTAATAAAGAAAACAGAAGTAGATTGTGAGTCTTCACCTCAGCCTTCATGCTGTGAGACTGGAAGAACACCGCCTCCTTGTGGCCACATCTGAAAAACACAGATTCATTAGAAAAAAATCAGCTTTAGTGAAAGTTTATGGCAGATGCAGGAATATCATTATCAATAAACGTCTATGTCAAGACACGTTTGGAACGCACTTTGGGCACGGGTGGTCCTCTGTTCGAGGCAGTGTTGGATCCTGAGCCACATCTGCAATAATCTGAGTGAGTTCACTGGGAGAGAAGAGAGAAGTTAGAGCAGTCTAGAAAATATACATGCAAGAAACTCTTCAAACAACAAACATCATATAATATCTGACTCTAGTCAGAGTTCAGTGTTGTAGGAGATATTTTCAGCTTAAATAGTTTTTTTGTAACTAACCCTTTATTCTTTAGTGAGATAGGGATTGGTAAATTACATTGATAACCAATATGGTTTGTTGCTTTTGATACGAAAAAAATACACCCTCAGATTTCAAATGCTGTCCACTATATTCTACAAGGGAAATTATGGAACAAAATCAATGCCAAAAGTATTTAATTAAAAAGCTTGTTGAATAGCACAAACTGAAAAAATAATAAACAGAATAAACAAGTGCTTGGATTCTAATGATGTGAACTGCCAGGGTTTGTATCTTTAGGTCCTGATATTTAACATATCTGTTTATTTAAGCTGTGAATATTTCAACTAAAAACATTTAAAACACTTTTTTATACTTATAAGTGTATTTATTCATATTCAATTAGCAAAATTCACCTACAAAATATTCAATACTGTTTAAAAATAAGACATATAATATTCAAAATATTTAATACTGTCTAAAAATAAGACATAATGTTCAATACTGTTTAAAAATAAGACATAATATTCAATACTGTTTAAAAATAAGACGTATAATATTTAAAATATTCAATACGATTTAAAAATAAGACATAATATTTAATACTGTTTAAAAATAAGACGTATAATATTCAAAATATTCAATATATGCTTTCCCGGATGTAACGTCGGATCTTAACAGTCAAATTTGAACCACTGAATCTATGGAAGCGAATTTTGAATTGAAATAAAATGAACTGAAAACAGCCTTCTGAATATTAGACATCACATTTGTAAACAGTATTGAATATTTTGTAAGTGAAATCTGGAAATTGGATATGAATTCAATGAAAAGTGCAACAACTGTGTCTCTAAGCATTACTAACCATGCCTCTGATGCGACCGAAAACTGTCACCAGTATAAAACAAAGCTTACATTGATAGACTGGCATTTAGACCATTACCTTAATCTAGTGAATCACCATCTCTGAATAATTCATAAAGCAAGACACTCACTCAACCTCATGGGTGATTTTGTTCACATAGATGCAGCTGTTGTCAGCTTCCTGCTGATAGTCACAGTTTCTGCACTGAAATACAAGATACCAATGAAGATTCTGTCATGTAAGATCTTCCCATTTCAAACACTGTTAAACCACAATCGTCAGCATCTTTAAAGGAATAGTTCACCTAAATATGAAAGGTCTTTCATCATTTACTCAGCTGGTGAGAGTTTCATCTTCTTTATTGAATGCAAAAGGAGATATTCTGAAGCATGTTGGAAACCGGTAGCCACTGATCATGGTATTTGTTTTTCTTCCTACTATGAAAGTCATCAACATATTTTTAATAATTCTTCTTTTGTCTTCAACTTCAAACTCGTAACGGTTTGAAAGGGTCAGTAAATAGAGTAAATGGTGATTTTAATGGAGGTAAAGTTGGCTTTGAATTCACACTTTAAGACCTTCACCTTATTTTTTTATCATTTCAGAAAAGTGTTCTTTGCTAATTCCAAATAGGGAAATCATATTAGCAGTCAATGACTATCAAAGTACAACACTGTTCAGTCAATTAAATAGTGCTAATGTTGTTTTGAAGTCATGCTGAGTTATATGGATATGCGATTTCAGACCGAATATTCAGTCAGAGGTTGTCACCATTTAAAAATAAACGATTGTGCGAATATAAAACCAACTTTACCTCAATGTTTTAAATGGCGTCAATTTTCATTTCTAAGTGAACTATGCCTTTGATTAACAGGTTCATTTCTGTTTATTTATAACCATATGCATGTTTCTGCATCAAGAATTAAATATAACGTTAGTCATTCATTGTAAATGCTTCAACATTTACGAATAAATAATTCACATAATCAACATTAACATAATAACAGCTGACTTACAGCATAGAGCAGGATGCGGTTTTCTTTATCTTCTTTGGGATACAGCATGTTATTACTGGGAAGAGAGAGATAATGACATCAAAACAAACATCACATCAGAATCATACTTGCTCTCAGCACCAAACTCATTTCAACTCACCATTCCTGACAGAACCTGATGCCCACGAAACCAGGTTCATAGTTTCCTCCCTCCAGATCCATGATTTGGTTGCTGAAACTTTGTAATAAAAGCTTAAGAGCTGACAACGAGGATTAATCCGTCTCTACTCCGTTGAAATGACTGGCAATAGTGTGTGCGCATGCGCGGTCTCTGTAAATGCTGCGCAGAAAATTCACAGCGCCTCTCAGTGGCGGAGGTAAAAAACTTTTGTTCATTCGTTCATTCCTATATTTATCTTCCTTCAGCTAAGCTAGTCCTTAAACTTCTAGTAGTATCTGGATGCAGTCTTTATGATGCAAGCTTAGATTGCATCACTCAACGATGCAGTGTCAGACACAATACACGGAGTAACGTCCTAGTGACTGGTAGGGTTAGGGGTGGGGTTAGGTGATAAAAAGCATTGGATGCAGCTCATTGCACTGCACCAGGTCTGCATCCAGACCCCTCTTGAGGTCGCCACAGCAGAATGAACCGCCAACTTATCCAGCATATGTTTTACACAGCAGATGTCCTTCCAGCTGCAACCCAGAACTGGAAAACACCCATACACATGCACACACTTATACACTAAAAGCACTACATTAAGTTACACTACAATACAATACAATAGCACAACATTCATATGAATTTGAATTATAAAATCATTTCAGTTCATGTGAATCTTACAGCTGACACTTCATTCATTATTCTCTATTTAGACTATAGTCAACTTTAGAATGATGGATGTTAAACAATAAACCTTAATGACCTCCTGGAGTTACATGCAGTTTCTTACTATAAACAACTGCAACCACAGCAAACAGAGAATAATTATTACAACGTACAAATGCATAGATTTAATTCGCATAGACTCCCAAATTACTTTTTTGTGTTCACAGAAAAAGTTTGTTTTAATATTACTGACATATAATTAATTAATTTATATAATAATATATAATATATTTTGTGTTAATTAATTAATTTATGTTAGAAAGGAAGAAATAGAGCAGCATGGTGACTCAGTGGAGAGCACAATCGCCTCACAGGCAAAAGGTCACTGGTTTGAGCCTCGGCTGTGTCAGTTGGCATTTCTGTGTGGAGTTTGCATGTTCTTCCCATGTTGGTGGGGGTTTCCTCTGGGTGTACTGGTTTCCCCTACAGTCTAAAACCCTGCGTTACAGGTGAATTGTGTAGGCTAAATTGTCTGTAGTGTAATACTAATACTGTAATAATGTAGTGTAATACAAATACTACTGATATATATTCAATTTCTTGTAAGATTAGTCCCTTTATTAATCCGGGGTCACCACAGCCAACCGCCAACTTATCCAGCAAGTTTTTTTTTTTTTTTTTTTACGCAGCGGATGCTCTTCCAGCCGCAACCCATCTCTAGGAAACATCCACACAGACATTCACACACACACTTATACACTACGGACATATTAGCCTACCCAATTCACCTGTATTGCATGTTTTTGGACTGTGGGGGAAACCGGAGCACCCGGAGGAAACCCATGCGAAGGCAGGTAGAACATGCAAACTCCACACAGAAACGCTAACTGACCCGAGGTTCGAACCAGCGATCTTCTTGCTGTGAGGCGACAGCACTACCTACTGCGCCACTGCCTCGTCCACTACTGATATATAATTATTATATTTAATTTACATTATAATATACATTGTAAATGGGCTAATAATTCTGACTTTAACTGTATAAAATGGGGATACTCATCCCGAGGTCCTCAGATTATGCGGAGTCACTGATTGGATCCAAGACCAGCGACGAGATGATCCCAAGGATTCCATATCCGGGACCAGGCCATATCCTGAGCTGCCGCTGCGCTGATGGTCGTGGGTTGTGGAGAACATGTGTCTGATTCCAGCGACGCTCCAGGGACAGACGAGTCTTCGCTGAGGCCATCTTCCAGCCTCCACCACGGCGACTGAAGCTCTGCACAAGACTTTTGGCCAGCGGAGAAATTAAAATGGTCGTGCCCAACTGAGTCTGGTTCTCTCAAGGTTTTTTTTCTTCACTCCCATCAGGTGAAGTTTTTTTTCCCTCTCCGCTGTCGCCACTGCCTCGCATGGTTCAGGATTGGTAGAGCAACACATCGATGAATTTGCTCTTCAGTGTTTGAACTCTCAGTAATGATTAAATCACACTGAACTGAGCTAAACTGAACTGAACTTAAACACTAAAAACTGAACTACACTGTTCCAGTTACTATGACCATTTATGTGAAGCTGCTTTGACACAATCTATATATAATATATATATATATATATATATATATATATATATATATATATATATATATATATATATATATATATATATAGTGTTAAATAATTAATTAATAAATTTATGTTAAGTAAAAAAGTAATCTAATGTCTAAATTCGCTCCAAAAATGTAAAGTTAAAAATATAAATTAAAAATTATGTTAAAATAAAATTAATTACAGTAATTCACTCAGATTAATGAATCCCAAATAAATAATTCACGATTACAATTAAAAAGCTTAAACAACCAAATCTAAATATTTAATTTGTTCATGTCCATGTTAATGTGACCATTAATACACATCAGAGAACTTTCACCATATGAATGTATTACATTTTTTCATCTTGCAAAAAAGAAGCTAATTTCTGCATCACACAAACAAACAACATCATTACTATACCTCAAAAATGGCGCTGATACTGTCAGTGTTTTCCAGGTTTTAAATATGTTTTGTCAGATAAAATTTAGATTTAAACTTACAAGAGAAAACAGTACAATTAGAGTGAATTGACATAATAATTTACTGCCATCGTAAAATATGTAATCCATAAAAAGTAACTGTAATCTGATTATGAGCATGGTAAAATGTAACTAATTACTACATTTAGTTACAATCTGATTACATAATCCAGATTAGCTGTCAATTACCCTGCTTTTAATATTTTATTTTTTATTACAATACGACATTTACATCCATATAATCAGACATTTATTATTAATTGTACATAAATTGTACAATATTAATGAGTCAAAGGTCAATCGTGTTTCAATTCATACGATTTTAAGGCAAGACACTATCAACACCCACATAGCAAAATTTCTCTTGCCCAGCTCTGGCACAGACAATCAGCACAGACACAATGCTTAACCCACAGGCCACAGTGAATTACGGTACATGATTGGACCAAGTCTGGCTTCCATACAAGGGCCAAATATGGATCAGCCAAGTTAATAACACATAACTGGGCCTGAACTGCATGGATCAGATACGTTGGTGTGTCATGACTGCAATGATTTTGATTTCGCATTTCGCTTTATGTCTGTCCTTTTTCTCGGTGACCCGTTAGGTAGAATTTTTTTCTTTACTCAAAAATAATTTAAAAGTATTTTAAAAGTGGGTCAAAATAGGCCAAATTTACGTGTCCCACATATAATATCTGGTCCAAATCCTACATTTGATATCTGCCCCAAGTCTTGTGTCCTGCCTTAAAGACATGGTGGCACTTCAGCCATACCCTTTGGCCCACATGCTGTTCGCCAGTGCTGGACGAATGCCTACTATGCTTTATGCCAAATCTGCGCCTGAATTATTTGCTAACTGGGCATTCTCAATCCACAGAAATTAGTGACAAACATTTATGACCACAAGGTGGAGACAAAGTCAATTTGACCGGAAAACATATTCAAAAATCTGCTCTCCAGATGGTGGACAGAGTCTCTCCACACACAGAAACAAATACATGCAAACTGCCTTCCACAATAATCTGCACGACTTAATCAAATTAATGTATCAAACTGTTAAGAGAAACACATAGACGCACTCTCATTCCATCAGTAAAGACATACTAGAAAAAGGGAGAAGCACTTGAAAAGAACAAACATCCAATCGCTATTTCTGGAGTGCCATCACATAAATGGGACCCAGAACCCCTGCTGGTGCAGCGCGTGTTGTGAGCTCACATTTGGTGCACGGCTGTTGTCCAACACAGTTCAGACCACATGAAAAAGAAGGATTTATTTTTTTAAAAACTATGGTGACAAGCTGAAAACAAGGAAAGAAAGTCCAAAACATCCATGAGCAAACCAGTGATGTCCTTTCAGTATCTTCCAAACATGTAGAACTATTTCATTTTTCCCTTTAGGAGAGATAAAGACACATGACTGCAAAAATTCATTTGTTAGGAATTGTAAACATTACAAAACATTATGACATTTTAAAAAAAATTGGTTTTACAAACATTATAAATGCGCACTGTATAAAAAAAGATCTTGTCCTGGCAGAAAATTACAACATATTCTGTATATACATACCGTGAGAAAATAAGTAATGAACAAGTCACGTTTTTTTCTTGGGAATAATATTTCTAAAGGAGCTGCTGACATGGAATAAAACCAGATATTAAAATAAAATATCTTCTGAGAAATTCTGAGAAACTTTAAAATAAAATAAAAAAAATTAATAAATAAAAATCTGAAAAATGAGTTGTCTGTAATAACAATGAAACGACAGAAGGAGAAAGCACTGAACTACTGAAAATTATTTATAAAAGGTGATGTATTTTTTGGTAACGGCAGCTTAAAGTTGCCTCTCATATGGAGAATGAAGTCACATGAATTGCTCTGGTGTGATTTTTTTTTCTCAGACTTCAACAGAGTAAAACATTCTTGATGGTTCTGTGGGTCTCGTCTATCAAATCTGATCTTTTTTTTGTATTCTCTATTGGATTCAGGTCAGGTGATTGGCTGGGCCATTCTACAGCTTGATTTTTATTTTCTCTGAAAGCATTTAAGTGTTTCCTTGGCTGTGTTTTGGATCATTTCTAGCAGGCACACAACATCATAAGACATATTAGGTTAGATTTAGGTCGTGACGCCAAGTGACCAAAATTCAATGTCTAGCCATCAGGACAACGTTATTCTGACATCCAATAATGACGTCAAATTACATTGATATCTTGTTGGTTTTAGGTTGTGTTGGAAAGTGACCAAAATCCAATGTCTGATAGATGTCATAGTGGTAACGTCCTCACAACGTCAAGGTTTAACATGAGTAAACGACATTTGGTTGATTAGACATTGGACAATGATGTCGCCCTGACGTTGGGTTCTGACTTCAACCTGATTTTCATTTCCAAACAAAATCCAACGTCCCCACAACGTTGGGGTACATTGGGGCACAACGTCAATATGACGTCATGTTGACCTCCTGTGCCTGCAGAGTTGTCTTGCTGAAATGTCCACCCTGGTTTTATCCTCATCATGAGTCCATGTTAGACTGAGAAGCAGCTAACATTATATTACAATGAGGAAGGACAGAGGGTTGCTGAATAACTACTGATGTCAGCTGCTGTCTGGACTTTCACTGCTTTTCTACGCTTCCCTTTCTTCATGTGTACAATACTTTTCCCTTGTGTGATTGCATTTTATTACACATAACTTCATTTGTAAACCAATTAGTTTTGTTTTCTTTGCATATATGAATTTCTTTAGTTGATACCAACATCTGGTGAACATTTCAAGTCAAGGGTACCTTTAGAAATATGTTTTCTGAGAAAAATGGTGACATGTTCAATACTTTTTCCCCGCTGTATGTGTAACGGTACATGTGTTAGTCCTGAAGCATCACAGTATGGGGGTGAAGGGTCAGTTCATGCTGTCCCATGGCAAATACAGTGCCCAGAAGTTCTGCCATGTTGCCATTGATAACTTGCTAAACAGAAGCTTGCAATACTAGTCCCGCACATCTATCAATCGCATTTACATGGAAAAACTATGGAAATATAATCTTGTGTGCATGTGCTTGTGTGCATGTGAGTTCTTTCTCTACACTGACAAGCCTAATTAGTTGACTGAACTAAATGAATTGAGTAAACTCGTTGCCTCAATTTAATTGAGTAATGGAGTCTCCCAAAACTTGCATATTTAAGTTTATTTAACTTGCCGGTTTTGTAGACTATGCTTACATTTTTCAGTTCACCAAATTTACTAATAGTTTCTTTGTATATATATTTTATTTCTTAGATGGAAAATATGCTGATTTAAAGAACAATGTACCCAAAATAAAGTTAAGAAATCTCAATATCTTTGAAACTTCTTTCAAAACAAAACAAAAGTCTTAAGGTCGTTTCCTTAAGTTAAGCGTAAAATAATAATAATAATAATAATAAAACCTGGTCCCTGATTCGGAGTAAAAAAAAAAAACCTTGAGCGCGTTGACATATGTTGATCTTTTTTTGCGTTGATTTAACAACTTACAGATAATTGAGGAATGGAACTTCATAATGATGGTATCCAAAATGTCAAATCTTATTCAGACAGCATACCAATACATTTAACAAACATTCAGTTATCCGGACAATAAGGAAGTCCTTAGGCGAAGCTTAAAACGCAAGGTTTCCCAACTAGGACTTCACAATACAAACAGTTTTTTTTATACATTCTAGGTGTCTGACCACTGACCAGCGCCCTCTAGTGCCCTGTAGTTCCATTAGAGCAGCATTTTTATTTCCAATATTCCATGGATAACAAAACATGACAGACATTTCATTCTGTTATAATATATAACAGAGAATAAGAGATATAAAAATGCCTTAGTGCTCCCACCAGTGCCGTTATACAGCCATATCGCACTGCTACACGTGCGTATATAAAACAAAATCAAACTTGGAGAGTCTCAAAAATCCTTTTGTATGAGGAACTACTTCTCTTCGAGTTGGATTCAAATCATAAGCTGACAGTTAAACAGCTGAGCGTGCATCTTTTAAACTTTAGATCTGTAGTGTTTGCTTTTTGCTGGCTGTATGTGGGCGGAGTAATACACAAAGGGCAAAGAGGCTGTATGGGTGCTGATATTACTTAAATGTATCACAGCTATCAGCCAATCACATCCGAGACCCAGAGAGAACTGTTGTATAAATATAAACTAAAAAAATAAATAAAACCTGGGCAATTTATACTTCAGTTTAAAAAGACTTTTAGGGTAAGGTTTAGGTTTGATATAGATTATATTTGGATTACTCCAATTTTCAGATAGCCTCCCACACCTCCGCTTCACCTATGTATAGATCTGCTATGTGGGATTTACATATGTTAAGTTTGCAGCAGCAAATTTATATTCAGTGTTATATTTTCAGACAGCATGTTCGTGAATATACTGGAGAAGCAAATCTCAGCTTACTCAGCACTGCCAAGACCAAACACATCAATATTATCATATACATATTCATTACTATACTAAATCTCTTATAGAGCAGTCATAACAAAGATAAACATAAAGCACATTTATTTAGTTCTGTAATTTTATTAAATGTACTGCCAATCAATCAACCAATCAATCAACCAATCAATCAATCAATCAATCAATCAATCAATCAATCAATCAATCAATCAATCAATCAATCAATCAATCAATCAATCAATCAATCAATCAATCAATCAATTGATCGATCTAGAATTTTTAAATAGAGACACTGAGTTCCTCAGTGTTTATTTCTAATGGAATATGTTGTTCTGGTGAATTTTTGTCAGGACATGATCCATTTGATCCACTGATCTGTCCAAACTTGACACTGCAGTATGTTACATAATCATAAACTCTTATACTACACCTTTGCTCTTCTTTTCTTTTTCCCAGATTTCAGCTCCTTTGCACTTCTCAAAATGGCACCGAATGTTTCCGTGGACATGCGTGTTGAAACTTCAATTTTAATTGAAGGTAATTTTGCTGTAAAATAAGATTAAAAACAAATTACATCCTCATTTCAATGAAGTATATATCTAACCACACATCACAATGAATTTTACCTGTGAAACTCTAATACTGCGATACTTAAATCATTAACCAACACTTATGTAATTCATAGGCACTTTATTTAGGAGATTCTGATCTTTTGCAAACAACAAAAGTATGTTTCTAACACTGGTGTGATAAATCTTCCCAGCAACCATTTTTTGTTTTTAAAAGACATCTAACAGATGTGTAATGGACATCTAAACATAGTCATCTTGCCTAAAATTAGACTAAATTTGGGCTGTCAGTGAAAATCTAATAGACGTCTAAGAATAGGCCAAAACTAGACTACAGAGGTGAATGACACCTAGTTTTGGGCTATTCTTAGATGTCTATTAGATTTTCACTGACAGCTGAAGTTTAGCCTTGTTTTAGGCGAGCTGTCTATGTTTAGATGTCTATTAGACGTTTATTTAACACAAAATTATTGGCTAGGTTCTAAAGCTGTAAAAGCCATAGTTTGTGTGAGTTAGAATAACTCTGACTTGTCATGATGCTTTCAAACTGTTGATTTTTTGTGGATCTGACTGCTTCCATTTGTTAGTACAATTTGTGAGTCAGTTTGGATAAAAAATCATTTGAGAATTGAATAAGAGTGTTTTAATGTCTTATATTACATTAAATACATTTTTATTAATAATCAGAGCATGATCAAATCTTCTTTAATCACATTAGGATGAGAAATTTTCCTTTCGAGGATGAACTAATCATATAAGTTGAGCTGGTGAATGGTGCATCAGTAACTTTACACTTCATGTGTGTGAAACCACAAATCTGTGCGTGAGGTCAGTGTTGCCATGTTCCATCAAAAATTTCCATCACATTAACTTTCACACCTGCTTGTCTCTCTCTCAGGGCCTCTGAAATCATTTTCCCACCGTCCTCTCCGATGTGATTCTCACCAAGGTCCAGTTCGGTCAGCTGACTGGAGAATTTTACCAGACTGAAAGACATTTATAGATGCATACAGTAGAATTAAACAGCTCGTACAGTATATGTAGTTTATGTCTTGTTCTCCCCAAGAGCATTACTTGATGGATTAGGATGAACAATTAAGACATATGGTAAAACATTTCCCACTGTGGCTAAAACACACTAATATCAAGCGTCTAAAAAGACTATTAACAAAAACTTGTTGAGAAACAGTAAAAGCTGTAAACAATTGCAATAGGATGTTGTTTTTATCAGTGACGTTTACATGGACATCAGTAATCGACTTATTTGCCTTAATCTGAATAAAACAATAATATGATTGAGCTGTTTACATGAGTTGCATTTTGAATGTTCCTTTCATGATCCCATTATACATTTTATAGTCATTGCGTCACTGCGCTGTCCACATTTCCTGTAGTTTCATGTTATTTTGGGTGTTTCATTTTTAATTTGTCGACTTTAACGACAGTTTGGGACTTTCATTTTCATTCAGAAGCATTTCATGCATGCCCCCGTGACAAACGAGATGTAGGATGAACTGCTGAAGCTGTATGGGAAAAATCCTCCGCGTTTTGCGATGCGGGTGTCTGTGGTCCTTCACTGACTCAATAGGTACAGAGAATAGTGTTCAACAGCTGTGTGTGTATAGACTATCCTGTCACAAAATGCGGCGAAAAATCCTACACGACGATAATAGATGATTGCGGTTTTTACATGTCTGTACTGAACTCCCATAATGTGACTAAAATCGGCACACTCCACTTGAGTAAAAACAATTTGATTTCTGTTTAGTTAGATTATTACCCTAATCTGTTTAAGTTAATTAAAAATAGCTGTTTACATGGTAGACTCTTAATCGGAGTATTGTCTTAATCATATTAAAATCCGGATTATTAGTGGTTATGTAAACATACAGTACAAAAAAGGTCAAAAAATCAGTTCAAATAGATCCATTTCTGGTTCCCTTATAATGTGATCCAATGTGTTTGTGCCAAAAGCAGTCATATTTGGTTGTTCATAAAGTCTGTTTACCTGATGGTTATATTTGCAACACATGCGGTCAGCTCATTCATGACCAAGTCAAATTCAAATGGATGGAGGAAATGTGGGATCTCAAAATCAGCTGATTTTACAATTAAAATACAATTACTGGCCACTTTATTAGGTACACCTTACTAGTTCCAGGTTGGAACCCCCTTTTGTTTTCTTAATCCTTTGTGGCATAGATTCAACAAGGTACTGGACACATTCCTCAGAGATTTTTGGTCCATATTGACATCATAGCATCATGCAGTTGCTTCAGATTTGTCGGCTGCACATCCATGATGCAAATGTCCTGTTCCACCTCATCCCAAAGGTGCTCTGTTGGACTGAGCTCTTCTGACTATGGAGGCCATTTGAGTACAGTGAACCTGTTGTCATGTTCAAGAAACCAGTCGACTGAATATTTGAGTTACTACAGTCTTTCTATTAGGAACCAGTCTGACCATTCTCCTTTGACTTCAGGCATTAACAATGCATTTGCGCCCACAGAACTGACGCTCACTGGATATTTTTTCTTTTTTAGATCATTGTCAAACCCTAGAGATGGTTGTGCGTGAAAATGCCAGTAGATCTGCAGTTTCTGAAATGCTCAGATTAGCCCGTCTGGCACCAACAACCATCCCATGATCAAAGTCCCTTAAATCACCTTTCTTCCCCATTCTGATGCTCGCTTTGAACTGCAGCAGATCGTCTTGACCATGTCTAAATGCCTAAATGCATCGAGTTGCTGCCATGTGATTGGCTAATTAGAAATTTGCATTAACGAGCAGTTGGACAGGTGTACCTAATAAAGCAGCAGGTAAGTATGCATACTTCAAATCTGCAACAAAATCTGAAGTGATCTGTGCCGTTAATTTGCTCATTTTTAGCTCTAATTACATTTGAAATATGTTATTCCCAGCTTCTGCGAATGCTTGAAGATTAGCAAGTATTTCATGACATCAATGATAACCATAGGACACAGTTACAAACAAAAAAAAAGACAGAACAGAAGCAAAACCTGAGGACAACATGAGGGAGCAATTAAACAATCTAAGTGCCTGATCTAAAGCACACAGTGCAGGTGCATTTAGAGCATCTGAATCCACTTTTGCTAAAAAGCTGTCTGCATGGCCATTGCTAAAAAGGTTGTCTTTATTTTCTTAAAGAGTTATGGGTGTGTTTTTGGACATTAAACCAATCAAAGTCTCATCTCCCATTCACTTCAGGAGTCATGTTTTGGACCTGCATATCATCAATGCGCTCTTTACATAAGAAAAAAATCAATAAAAAACCTCCACCACTGACTTTAGACAAGGTTATAATTGGTCAATGGTGCGTTCTAATTCAGTTGTGCTATAACAAACAACGCGTTTGCTATTTAAACAGCGAGGCGCAGATGTGAGAATTATGCTTGCGCTGAGCTGAAACAAGCAAAAAACATACACTGCACCCGATGCTTGACAGGGCTCTGCGTGTGATGGGATTTTAAAAAGAAGGGGTCTAATTGCCATGGAAAAGGAAACCATATTTACATCCAAATGGTAATTACTCGGGACCAAAGTGTAGCTATAAATGACTTCAATGGTCTGGATTCAGTCAGATTTAATGAACAGAAAATGTTGTTTGTGTGCCTGTCACAACATCTGGAGCATGTATCAAGAGGCGCATTAAAAAAGAAACAGGTGAGTTTGCTAAATTATTCCTCGTTACTCCATCAAAGTTTGCAATTTACAGTACTAAATATCTCAATGTGTATTTATACGTTTTTGACAAGTGATGTGCAAAACTTTACATGCAGTTCTGGTTCTGCTAAGCAGCTTTGAATGCTATACTCCGTTCATATGGACGCTGAAATAAATAAATGCTACATATGTGTTGCAGATGCTGGTGTAAAACAGGAATGAGATGTTATGCTGAACAGATGGCATCGCCAAGAGTCTGTTCACTGACCTTACGATATAAAAACTCCCTAATATCCCTAATGATTTGCTCCATTTAGGACTATTGTGAAAATGTTTAATATCATATTCTTATAGGGCTTGCAAAGAGAAATAAGGCAAATGCCTTTCAGTGCCTACTGTGATGATACGGATCATTAATCATGTTACACATCTGTCTCCTATATGTAGATTTAGAAAGTGTAATCTGACAGATATTCATATGTGGGCAAAAAAAAAGCAGCCTGAGAAACTGAAATCAGATGTTAAATGTGAAGTGAAATGTCTTGTCATGCAGACAATACGTTAACTTTAACCGAATCTGACCTCTGTGTATTAAAGCCAGGTATGTAGGCTAAAGAAAATGACAGGTATATCTGAACACGCACTAATTCAGAGCTAAATCTTATAGGATTTGCTAGGAAAAAAATGAAATACACTTAATTGTATGACGTGTATACATTAAATTTAAAACATATATCATAATGAAGATAAAACTGCAAGCTACTTAAAGTGAACATAAAGACAGTAGTATGTTTCTCAACACTTCAGTACACTCAATTAACCTTTTTAACTGCTTCCTTACAGGTTTCTGAAGTGCAGTTGGATGATAGAGAGTTGGAACAGATGTTTTAAACCCATTTTCTTTGCAAATCCTGTCTTGTGGATATGATAATAAGTGCCTGTCATGATAATGACATGATAATACGGTTGCTGGTTTGAATCCCAGCTAGACCAGTTGGCATTTCTGTGTGGAGTTTGCATGTTCTCCTTGTGTACGCATGGGTTTCCTCAGGGTGCTTCGCTTTCCCCCCACATTCAAAAGACATGTGCTATAAGTGAATTGGACAAGCTAAATTGGCCGTAGTGTGTGTGTGTGTGTAAATGCAAGAGTGTATATCTTTCTCAGTACTGGGATGCGGCTGGAAGGGCATCCGCTGCATAAAACATATGCTGGAACAGTTGGCGGTTCATTCTGCTGGGGCAACCTCTGAAATAGAGACTAAGCCAAAGGAAAATGAATGAATGAATGAACAAATAATTAACACAGCGGGTGGTTTTGTCCATATTTTAACCAAAAGCTAATGAAATAACCCAGCATTTTTTAAAGTGTGTGTTGAGGTTCATGTGTTTTTAGCTACTAAGCAGCAGACCTCAATTAATTCCTTATCAAATATATATGAGATGGTTTTAGTCAAATCATGGTCAGATTGAGAATAAGTAAATTTTACAAGACCGATAAAATCGGATTAGGACAATCTGTTGTCAAGCAGACTGAAATGACTTTGGAGATTTAGTTTGACCTCCTTTTTGTCCTCAGCTGTGCGTTTGTAGTGAATTAAGCCTCATACATGACCTGCTGAATAATTAGATGAAACAAAAATTTTAATTCTGTTATTAATTACTCACCCTCACAACGCAAGAAATGGTTGTTTTACTTTGATTTTTTTGTCCTATTTCTAGTGCAAATATAAAAAAATTCTTAAATCAAGAAGCATTTTCTAGACCAGGGGTCACCAATCTCGGTCCTGGAGGGCCAGTGTCCCTGCAGCGTTTAGCTCCAACTTGCTTTAACACACCTGCCAGGATGTTTCAAGTATACCTAGTATGACCTTGATTAGCTTTTTCAGGTGTTTTTGATTAGGGTTGGAGCTAAAATCTGAATGACACCGGCCCTCCAGGAACAAGTTTGGTGATCCCTGTTCTAGACAATCAAATCAAAGTCTCTTTTTAAGAAATTACATGTCAAAATTAAGTGAGTTTATCCTTAAAACAAGCTCAATAATCTGCCAATGGGATAAGCAAAATAATCTTATTTTTTCCTTCTAACATAAGATTATTTTGCTTACCCCATTGGCAGATTTGTTTGGAGAGTTGTTTGGAGAAAATTGTGAACCTAGGAGGAAAAATAACAGGGAGAAAACAGAAGACCATGGCTCAGTTATACCATAGACAAGTTTTGAGTAAAGCTCAGAGTATTCTGTCAGATGAGTCCCATCCTATGCACCACGAGTTTTATCTTCTCCCTTCTGGTATTCGATACAGA